ACCTGCTGTCACTCCTGCTTGCCTTGGTGTCAGGGTTCTTCCAGCAATCCTGCCCCAATCAAACTTGAGGAAAAAGTCATTCTGTGGTTCAACAAATATCTCGGTGGTCCTACCTGGTTCTGTGGACTCTGGTAGGTAATAAAGTTCAGGAGTGTGCAGCCTGAGAAATTTTCTCCTCTTCCAGAGCATTTATTCTAGTGGAGCAAAGGCAGGTCATGAAATGGTCAACAGGTCCACACATAGTCACCTCAGGCCATGATAGGTGCTTGAAGGAAATTAATAGGGAAGGCAATTAAATGTCAATGGTATTAGCAACTGATTGAGAGTAATGTGTGCTTCCCTGTCTCCCATTCTCAGGAGCCAGAGGAAAGGGAAAATGGTGACAGGGAAAATCTAATCATGCATAATCATTGAGATTTGACATTTGCATTTGACTGCTGGCCATTTAAATATTGTCTTTTTCTCTCCACTGAACTGTGAGTGTTGAGAAAGCTGGGGCTGCTTTGTTCTCATCGTCCTCACAGCGTTGTGCATAGTAGGAGCTCAGTAAAGATCGATTGGATGGATGGACAACTGGAAGAATTAATTAGTCAAGGCTCTGCCAGGTATGTGTCAGGGGCTGCAGTAACTGAGACATGGGATAAGTGCAGGCTAATGGATGTCTGTCAAGGAGGTGCCCACCTGGAGAAGCAATGTAAAGCAGAGCATGATTTGCAAGTGGAGTCAGGAAGCTAGCGGGGTGGTCATCATCAGCTCTGAAAACATCAACTCCACGATCCTTCACCACCAGTCCATGCACAAAAGCCTGTCAAGGTGCAGAGCAGCACTTCAATGGTATTAAGTCTAGAGGGGTTTCATTGGAAGACCTTTGGGAGAATAGTCGACTCATTTAAGGTTATCATTCTGCTCCTAAGAATAGGAGAGACTGTAGAAGCATCAGGAGATGAGTGTAGTCCCCAGCTTCTTAAAAATTTAGATTATGACATTTATGGAGGTATTCTGGCTCTTCTTTCATTGGCAGGATTGGCATTATCGCCAAATCACAAGCTTTGCTGTTAGTACATCTCTTTCTGCTATGCTCACCAATTTTGTTTAAACATTTAATCCATATCTTTCCTAAAAAGACAGAATTTTCTGTTTTGGCCAAGTGGAAGTCTTGAGGCTGGAAGCATTTTTGAACAGTCAAAGATCTGAACTTCAAATTGGCTTCATCAAAAAGGCCATGAACTCCCTAGTAGAAGAGAGAGCCCCATTGAGGCTGGACATGTCAAGGGTGTTACAGATCAAACACTGGCCAAGAATTTAAAAAAACAAAATGCTCTGAAATGCTGTCCAAACCCGACATTTTGTGAGCCTGTGACATAAAAAATTCATTCTGTGAGCTGTCAAAAAATATTTCATTCTATTGTGTATTCAGACATATACTTGGAATCAGGGTCCAGGAGTTTTCTGGGCCTTGCTTTTCTCATCTGTGAAAAGGGGTTGAAAAGTCCCGTCTTCCAGCCTCGTTGTAAGGGTTCCAAGGAGTAACATTTAGAAAATACCAGGTTCCTAGTCAGCACTTAATAGATCTTTGTTGTGTTTGAATTTGAACTCTTTCAGTTCAGGGGCACTGAAAGTTGAACATTTCTTAATAATATAAGCTACCCTGTGCCAAGGCAAAATCGGTAGGACTCCAATGTTCCCACTCCCTGACTATGGAAGCAGTGAAAAATGTGTTGATTTTATCCCTTTGGTGAGCTGTGCACCCACCTAGCAAGACCAAGCCTAAACATATGGTCCCAATTTCTTGTCTCAGGAGAAAGACCAATGTTCTTAGAGATGCTAACTTTTACCAGTCCCAATAAAAAGTAATTTCCCATCCATGGAAAGTGGATTGGACTGAGCAGATGCTGTTAACTGCTCTCAGAGCACATGTGGATGCCAGGCCCAGATGAGGACATTTGCCCAATTGGCTCTTCTTCTTATCCACCCTTATTGTCCATCATGAGACTTCATATCAAAGGTCTCTTCCTCCATGAAGCCCATTTTTATTGCTTCAGGTGATTTTTAACTCCCTTTCTTAAACTCTGTCACTGTGAGACAAACATGTATCTCCTTTGTACTATGGATGACAGTATAAGTTTGGATTTGGGATGGTTTAGGTAATAGCATTTTTCCTACTGGACTGTAAGCATAAGGGTCAGAACCTTGTCTGTGTCCACTCCCCACATCTCAGTGCCGAGCACAGAGACAGAGCGTACTTCACAGGAATATCTGCAGGAGAGGAAAAGAATGCTTGCAAGGATGTTGGCCAAACAGATACTGAAAGCAGGAGTGACAAACCTAGGCGTTTCACTGCTCTGGGCAAAGCCCAGGAGGGAGCAGAGGTTGCAACAAGAGGGATTTAGGTTAGTGTTCAGAAAGAAAGCTGCTTTGTAAACATTCTTTAAAATTCAGGGCTGCCTAAAGAGCTACAGTGGGATCCTAGGGAAAACAGCCAGCAATTATATCAGCCTCTACAAACACAATAATCTGCTTTGCTCCAATCCAATCCCAATTTTTATTTTCCATAGGTTTTAAAGAAAAGTTTTAGAAGATAAACTTTATGGCAAAAGATTATAAGCAGAGTTTTGGCTAGGCTTTTTAAGCTAGAAGGATTTAAGGAAAGGAGACAGTACTATCTTTCTGGGACCGAGTGAGTCTCTGGGGATGGGTGGAGCTGGAAAGGCTCTCACAGGCTGAGTTAAACTGTCCTGGGTGGAAGTTCAAATGCATCTCCTTTAAGTCATCCAAGGAGAAACATCCCTTAGGCTTCCTCTGTGCTAGGGTAGGAGGTGGGTATGTCCAAGTCACCTCCTGCTGGGAAGGGCAGAGTGAAGGCTGGTTAAAGCCTTTTTGCTGAGGCTATTAGACAACAGCAGACTGAGTACAGGCACGCATTCCTCTAGCAACACTTTCAGAGCAAGTGCTGGGGGTGAGGGTGGGAGTGGGGAGTGGGCACAGGTAGATATCTGCCAGGCAGAGATATCCCATGCCAGCAGAGGCTTCTCCATCATTCACTCTTACTCTAGCTGAGGAGCCACTTCTTAGCAGTTTGCAAACAAAAAACAGAATAAATTTACATTTTTTTCTTGGACATTTCCAGTTCCTATGCTTTGAAAAGCAGCATTTCTTGTTTTAAGCTGATCACTTGTACGCCATAAGCTTACAGTCAGCAGAGACGCTAACAAGACAGCAAAGATGAGGTGATGGAATCTGTGTCCAGTGCTGGGACGCCCACTGTGTCACTGTGTGATCATATGACCATGGTCCAGATGCGCCCTGGGTCTGCGCTTTGGTGTCCTCACCTGTAGAGGCACATTCTTACAGGCCGAATTGACCAAGGGCGGCCATAACAAGCTGAATCGGAAGGTGGAGCTTTGAGAAAAGGAAAGCTTTATGGGAAAAAATACACACACTTTGCCACAAGTGCCAAACTGGGGAGGTCTTCCCAAAATTAGAATGTAGTGATTCTCAGTATGTGCTTGAGTTTACCTCCAGTCCTTCAGTTAGAGAAATGCCTCCACAGACTTGCAGCATTTGCCAGACAACCGTCCTTCACGGGCCATGGGTCAGGGTCTTATTCCCCTCCAAACTCTAGTTCTCAGCCTAGCTGGGTTGGAAGCAGCTTGGGTGACGTGTCTTGCAGGATGAAGACAAGACTTTGTTCAAAGCAGGCAGAATAAACATCTTTTTTACAACTCCTGGATTTTCGAGGAAGATTCACACAATGGGAAATTGTGAAAACTAGTAATGGAGCAGAATAGGGCATGGGGTGAAAAACTTGCTCATCCTTAGACTCCCTGGCTGTGTCCAGGGTTGGAGGGGGCCCAGGGGGGTAGCATGGGCCATAGGGATTTTCTGGATGGGTGACTTAGGAACCTGCTCACAAGGCAGAGCTTTGCAACAACACAGAGAAGAAAGTGGAGCCAGAGGATTGAGGTTTGAGTTCTGTTTCTTCCCTGCCATCTGGAGCAAAGTCACTGCCCTGTGCCTCGGTTTACCCATTTATATAACAAGGCTGAAAGAGGATGAAGTGTGGCCAATTGCTCAGCAGAGTGCCTGGTAAAGTCAGCCCATGGGAAACGATATTATTGTAAATAGCCTTGTTATTACTCCAAAGCCTGTGGTAGTACATGTCTCCTTTCCTCCTGGGAGTTTCATTTTCTAAGCCAAGGCCCTGCTTCGCAAGTAAACTGTGTCCTTTAGTGCCAATGCTCTGGAACCAGCGTGCACGCACGTGTGTGTGTGTGTGTGTGTAAAGGGTGGGGTGTAGTGCCCTGAGTTTGGAAGTCTAAGACAGGCCAGTTAGGGAGGCAAGAGTAGAAGCAGGCACTCTCACGAGAGTTCACTGAGTTGAAAGTTATTAAGCTATAAGACACATACTTGCACACAGAAAACAAAACAGAACAAAACAAAACAAACAATAACAACAACAACAACAACAAAAAAACAAGCCCCAAAACCCTGCGTGCTCCGCCCTATACCTTCAGGCAGGTGCCAGGCCTGGAGGGAAAGGGAGCCCAGGGAGGCAAGGGAGGAGTCTGACAGGTGAACCATTCCACAAGCCCATCCCCTCCCGGGAAGGCGCGGCCCAGGGAGGCGCCAGCCTCAGGGGCGCCCAGGCTCAGCCCTAGACTCGCCTTAAAAACAAAACAAAACAAAATTAAAAAAAGAAAAAGAAAAAAAGAAAAGAAAGAGAAAGAAGAAGAAAAAGAGGAAGAGGAAAAGAAAAATAAGAAAAAGGAAAAAGCAAAGGAAAAGAAAAAGAGAAGCCAGCGAGAGAGAGGAGCAGCCTCCGCGAGTTCTTAGGGTTCCGCAATCTGCCCGAGAAGGGGCGGAGCCCACACGCCCTCGCGCGCCATTGGCCCATACACGTAGCAACTGCGGCGGGTGGACCAATAGAGGCCGCGGAGACGCCGTCCCCTCTCCAGGCACTTGCCTGCCAAAAATCTTGCTGTACCAGCCAAGAAAACAGAGCAGGGACTCGTCAAACTCCAGCGCTAACTTTACTTTCTTTCTCTCCCTTTCCTCCCCATTTCGCCTCGAGTTTTGTCTCCGCTTCCGGCTCATACAGGTAAAAGTCTCCAAATTCTGACGCTAAGGGAGGGCCTTTTCAAAAGGTCATCTCTTCCCACTCAAGGATGAAACCTCATTAGAGATAAAAGAGTGTAAAAAAAGTTTACAGGAAAAAAAAAAAAAAGGTGAAAGCGGTTAAAGAACGGGTAGATTAAAAATGGTATGTCAGGTTTCCTAATCTCACTCGGTCCTCAATTACAGTAGCTTCACTTTTAATATATAGTGTGTCTTTGTTTGAACACATCTGCAAGATCTGTGCCCGAAGGAAGGGCAGCTTGAACGCCTATTATATTTGTGCCAGGCTTTGTCCTCGGAGTTTTATATGCCTTACTGCATTTAATCCTTGTAATTCCTGCAAATAGGTTGCCTAGGCTCCATTTAATAGATGGGACATTGAAGTTCAAAGTGATGATGGCATGTGTCCAAAGCCTTCTATGAGTACAAGGTGCAGCAGGATTCAAACCCAAGGCAGGCTAATTCCAGAGATACCCTGTTTCCTCATGCCTCTCACCTCTACAAAGCACATTTCAGTAGGATATACTCTGAAGAGATGGTGCATGTTGCAAAAATCGGATCCAGACTCTATTGCTCTATTTTGTTAGCAAGACAGGCCAGCATCACTGGTGTGTGCACAGCAAAATGCACAGGGCCCTGAACTTACAAGGTCTCACACTTGGTTCACGCTCTATTGTTGCTGTTTGGAAATGCTTAGTAAGGTCTGAAGAAAGAGCCCCATGTTTTCATTTTTCACAGGGCCGGCAAACTATGTAGCTGACCTTCCAAAGACAGCTTATTTAAATATCCCAAAAGAATTTACGTTTTGAGACTCTAGGACCTCAAGTAAAGGGGGAAGCTTGTACATTCTCTCTCTCTCTCTCTCTCACACACACACACACACACTTTGAGTCCTGCACACACCCTGCTGATAGTCAGGTTTATTACTCTGTAACTGTAATTTGAAACCCCAGTCTATTAAGTGGGAGCGTATATATTTATGGCTGTGTTTATGTGTGCCTGTGTGCACACTCGCACGTGCATGAGAGAGCCCAGAGAGGGAATAGGGGACTGGGGAATTTACAACACACAGACACAGCCTGATTATTGACTCTATTCTTTCTCTTGGAGACATTGCAGGGGATTTGAACGGGCCTACTTTTATGAAATACATACTTCGGAGGTTTCACAGTGGCTCTAAACACTGGATGGTGTGAGAGTGAATTTGGGGTGCTGCCAGGTGCTCTGGGATAGGACAAGCCGTGAATCCTCTTTCCACTGCAAAGACCATAAAAAGCCACATATTCTTGTGTCTGTTTCACCTCCCCCCCCCAAATCTGGGCCTTTTTTTCTGGCAAAGATAAGCCTCATTTTTTACTCTCTGAATTGTGCTGATTTTATTCTCTGTGCAGAGATCTCAGTGAATGGCGTGAAAGTCTGAAATGAGAGGAAGGTCTGAATGTTTCCCTCACACTTTACCAATCAAGGTGCAAATCATGCGCTGTGGGGGTTGTACGGGACTCAGGAGATGGCTGGTGACTTTAGGGCATTTTATTTGGTGCTTAAGGAAACTAAGGCCTAGAAAAGTCAGCTGAGTTACTGCAGGTTACACAGCTGGGTGGTGATGACATTTGGGTTAGAATTCACTTCTCCTGATTTCCATTCCAGAACCCTTTCTTGCATTTATTTCTGTATAAAGAGAAAGAGAGCATGATGTATTATATAATTAGCTTATGTGGGGGAGAGGATATTGATTTGATGGATAACAACATGGGATCAAAGAGGAAGGTTAACATTATTTATCAGTACTTGGTATTTGCCCCTGCCTTGCCTACATCACCTTAAATAATCAGATCTTCAGGACAACATTGAAAAAACGTAGGTAGTTTTATTTCCATTTAACAGATGGGAGAAAGCAAGGCACGGAGTCATGGAGTAACTTGCTTAATATTCCTCATCTTTTAAACGTATTAGCCAAGATATGATCTCAGTTCTAATCCCCGAGTGGCAAAATTAAGCCATTCCAATAGTTATGGCTCCACGGAGGCTCATTTTAATGATAGCATAGACTAAAGAAATGAGTCTGCTCCTGCCAACAGAAGTTGACTGTTTGGTCATCATTAAGCTCACTTTGGGTCATTAATTACTCTTGACTTGGTTTTGTTTCAGTTTTTTTCTGGGCTTTATGGTGGTGAGGTGCCCTTTCACTGCGAAATGGCAGAACAACTTAAAAGTTCATTTGATGGTGACTAAATGTCTTAGTGCCGCTAAAAGGTAAGTCTAGTGATTTGCTTTATATTTCAGAAAAATGAAAATGATCAGCAAATTATTTCACTGATTAAACCTTTTGATTCTAAATGAAACTGGCAAATACTGGGCAACCATCACAATGATCAATGCCTCCCCCAGCTTTTGCCCACTGAGTGCAGGTGACTCAGTGGGAGCTAAAAGCTAAGGATTATAAAACCATACAAGGTATGTAACCTGGTAAAGATAGTCTGACATACTATGGGACCTCAAGAAAGGTTAGGTCCTGGGACCAGCATATGGCATAATGGTTACATCACCGCACTCCCATGTAATTGTCCGTGGTTCAAGTCCCAGACCTGGCAGCTTGAAACTCACTCTGGGCATGTGTGTGTGCATGCCCAAGATCCCAAGAGGAGGATAGAGGAGAAAGGATTGTGGTGTGACCATCCTCTTGTTTTCTGTCTCCCTGTCTTTCTGGTGAGCACATGTGTTCTATAGCAAAAACAAAAACAAAAACAAAACAAAAACAAAAAAAAAAAAAAAAAACTCTCTCTTTAAAAAAAAATGGAAAAAGAAAGGTATAGGTCTACAACCTAACCTCAGATCTTGGAAGAATGACTTTATTTGGAAAAAGGACCTTTACAGATGTAATTAAGTCTTTCAAGCTGAGATGATCCTGAATTTAGGATCTAAAGTCAATGAGAGTTGTTCTTATAAAAGAACAAGAGAACATATACAGACAGAGGATGCCAAGATGGAGGCAGAGGTTGGAGTGATGCACCAAGGAGCTACAGAACACCGATGATTGTGACCAACCACCAGAAGCCAGGAGAGAGCCCTAGATTATACTCTCCCACAGGAGTCTCCAAATGCAACCAACTCTGCCTCCTCCTGGATTTTAGACTGCTGGTCTCTAGAAGTAGGAGAGAATAAATTTCTGTTGTTTTAGGCCACTTGCTTTGTGGTCATCTCTTAAGGTAATCCTAAAAACACAAGTACTAAATTATTTTACCAAGTAAAGACACAAAATCATTAAATTCAAACTGCCTAGAAATGTAGTAGAGGACATTATCAAAAATTAGATTTGTGTGTCTATCAATAAGTAGTTTATGTGGTTTTTTCAATCAATATTTGAAGATATCATTCTGAAAGGTAGGCTTAATCAAATTAGTTGTTTGAATGACTGGCAGACATTGAGCAGCCTGCTGATATAATCTACAAGTGTGTATGAGACAGAAGATAGTATTTGTTGGAAGCTCAATTTTTTTTTTAATTTTTTATTTTATTTTATTTTATTTTTTTTTCTTTTTGGTGAAAAGGGAGCTTTACTTACCCATTGGGTGTAGAAAATCAGAAAGAATATTGTTCCTAACCAAACAATAAGCAAAAAGCCTGATGAACTACAAAGTCATAAGTTTTCTTGAGTTCATGAGAGAATTGGGTTTCAGGGCAACCCAGCAGATTCATTTCCAAGTGAAGACAAGCCTCTCCAAGAAGATATGAGATGGAAACACAGATTCCTCTATTACAGGCCTCAGGAAGAAATGGTACCAAGAGCCATCCTTAAATTTTTAACAAGAGTATGAATCCTCTGGGAGGCAAAAACACAATGAAAGCTCTCACTCACTCCTGAGTTTTCCACATGAACCTTGACCAGATGCTCACTAAGTAGACTGAGGGTGAGTGAGAGAGCAGAGAGAGCCTCCCTTTGTGGTGCAGGGCTGAAGGAGGGGAGCAGTTGCCTGGTGGGAAGGCAAGAACCCAATCTAGACCTTTTTCCTATGGAACAACGTCCTTAAGCTTCTCAGAGAGTCCAGAAGACTTGGGGGGATTCATTAAGACTTGGCAGCTGGGGCCAGCAGGTGGCATGGTGGTTAAAGATACTGGATTCCCACATGGCCTACTGTGGTTCAAGTCCTGGACCTGGTTACTTGCTTTCTCACTTTCCCTTCCTCTCTCTCTCTCTGTCTCTGTCTGGTCAAATTAAAAAATAATAACAAATGGAAATAAATAAATAATTCTTTAAAAATAAAAGTAAATGAATTAAAAAAAAAAAAGACTTGGCAGCAAGGAGTGAAAGCTAAACTCTTTCTCTACCGAGGGAAGGCAATAAGAGTTATGAAATCTGTATCCTACACCAGTACCAAGAGGATCTTCTATAGCTTCAGAGGAGAAATGAAACTACTCACACAAGACTCACTATGGATCCAAAGGCAGAGTTGTGCTGCCATGAGAAAGAGGAGTGGCATTACCCAGAAAGCCCTGCTCTTGAGACCCAAGAACACAGGGCTTATCTAGAAGAAGTGGAATTTTACTGTAGTAAGATTCTTTCACTGTTTTACATGCAGGGTTAAAATGTTATGTGTAGCTGGTTGCAATAAATTAAAAAGGGCTGTTTTAAACTCTAGGGCAACTACTAACAATTTATAAAAAATAGATATATATAATCATTCAACAATGAAGATAATCTCTTCAACAAATTATGCAGAATAATTAGACATCCATTTCTATACAAAATAAATAAATATTGATCCATACCTGCACAATATTAAAAAATGAGCTCAAAATGGATCCTAGACTTATGTGTAAAATTTAAACATAGACATTTCTCCAGAAAGACTAGAGAAAATCTTAGGTTGGGCAAATTTCTTAGATACAAAACAACAAGCACCATCCACTTTTTAAAAATTAATAAATTGGATGTCATAAAAATTATAAATGTTTGTCCTTCAGAAGATACAGTATCTGAAACAAAGAAGTCAGCCACAAATTGTGAGAGAATATTTGCAAAACACTTATCTGATGAAGGATTGCCATTAAGGGTTTATAAAGGATCCTCAAAGCTCAATAATAAGAAAACAAAATAATAAAAATAGAAAAAATATTTGAATATACACTTCATCAAGGAAGATGTGGAGATGATAAATAAGGACATGAAAATATGTTTAACATCATTAGTCATTTGGGAAATTCAATTAAAACCCAATGAAATAAGTTTTAGAAATTAAGCTGGATAAGGCCAGCAGATGATGTGGAAGTTAAGGTGGCTGGATCCCACATGACCAACCCAATGGCTTGAAAATTATACTGGGCACATGTATGTGTGTGCCCAAAATCCTGAGAGAAGAATGGAGAAGAAGGGATTGTGACATGGCCATCTACTGGGGGGGGGGAGGTGTGTGATTTCTCACTTTCTCTCTCTTTCTCCCCTCTCTGGTGAGTACACTCACCCTATAGAAAACTAAAAACAAAGCAAAACAAAAATCAAATTGGCAATTCCAAGTGCTGATAAGAATGAGAATGACTGGCATTCTCATCCATTGCTGATGGGAATACAAAATGGTAATGTTAGCCATTTGGGGAAGTAATTTGACATTTTCTTATAAAATTAAATATTTAGTTATATAGGACCCAGTAATTTTCTTTCTGAATGTTTACCCACGTAGGATGAAATATGCTTTTCACACAAAAACCTGAATACAAATCTTTATAGTGCATTTATTTGTAACTTCCAGAAAATGGAAACTACCCAAGTGTCATCCCACTGGTATATAGATAAATTTATGATGTCTCAATGAAATACGTACAACTCAGCAATAAAAGGAAACATATTTTAGATGCATGAAATAACATGGATGTATCTCAAATACAATGTAGTATGTGAATGAAGTCCAACTCAAAGTAAATGTATAAGGACTTCTCAAAAAGTGCAAATTCTTGGGACCAGCAGTTAGCGTAATGGCTATGTCACTGGACTCCCACGTAGATGACCGCCATTCGAGTCCCGAACCCGGCAGCTTAAACTCACGTCAGGTGCATGTGTGTGCGTGCCCAAGATCCTGAGAGGAAAATGGAGGAGAAGGGATTGCGGCGTAGCCATCCCCCATGGTGGGTGATTTCTCGCTTTCTGTCTCTCTGTCTCTCTCTGTCTGTCTGGAGAGCGCATGCGCCGTATAGCAAAAACGTCTCCAAAAAGGAAAAAAAAGTGCAAATTCTTTTTTTAATGTTTTATTTATTTTTTTAGAGAGATTTTTTTTTTTTTTGCCATAGGTGCATGTGCTCACCAGAGACAAAGAGAGAGACAGAGAGAACATGAGAAATCACCCCCCTCAGGGTATAGCCACACTGTAATCCCTTTTTTCCCCATTTTTCTCTTGAGATTTTGGGCATGCATGTTCATGAGCCTGGTGTGAGTTTTCAAGATGCCTGCTCCAGGACTCAAGCCATAGTCAGCCATGTGGAAGTCCAATGCCACAAACACTACGCTACCTTCTGTCCCCCCAAAAGTGCATATTCTGAAAAATGCTAATTATGAAAGCACTGTGCATGTTTTTACATGTTCTTACAAAGAATGCCACCATCCGCCACCCAGTGTCTTCCCTTCCAATATTCTAGGTGAGAAAACGTGATTGGTCAAATGTGATGGGTTCTGCTGTTGCACTGGTAAGCCCCTAAGGAGAGTGAGTTTGACTGACCAGTCTCATGAGAAATTTACCTGCCTTTCAGAAACAGTGTTTCATCTTGCACTTGGCCTATAGCCCAGGATTTCCAAAATCGCTCCATGATGATAAGAATCACTTTGTGACACATACCGTCTTTAGGGTCCCAGAGCAGACCCACTGAATCATAACCTCTACAGTGGTACTTAGACTTGGCTGAACCCGAGAACCACCTGGGGAACCTTAAAACTACTGATGCTTGGATCCCATACTCCACATTTCTGATGGAATTGGTCTGGGAGAAAGCTTGGTCATCAGGAGTTTTAAGAGCTCCCCAGTTAAATCTAATGTGCAATTGAAGTTGAAATCCATAGACAGGACTTGGGAAGCGGTGTGTTTGCTAAGCATTCCAGGTGTTTGTCACGGTCAGGAAGATTTGGAAACACTTACATGTACTCTGTAGGGGTAAAGGAGTGAGTACTCTGACAGATTATTTAAGAAGATAACGTGGGAGAGAAACCAGAGTCAGCTTAGAGGTCTCCTAAAACCAGGCTCACCTAGTATAACTCCCACATTTTCTAGGAA